CACTGAGTAGTCTAGTTAGCACACCCTAGGTGCAGGAGGATTTAGCTATAAATATTTTGAATATTTGACTTTACCAGGCTAAATTAAACTGAGGTATCCATCTCCACTTAGGGAGTTACCTGTTGCAAAATGACTGGAGAAGCCACACCCGTGATCTTGACAGAGTCTTTGTTGAATTATCCTTGGCTGGCACTGTTAAGAACTGCCACTCTGATTCTTCTTTTTTCCCTGTTCTTTGTGGACCAACCTTTCATCCTCTGCCTCTTTTCTGACTAACACATTTGGGTTGAGACCATGAGTAATTTCCTTTCATATTTAACTTCTAGGTGAACCAATCCTTGTAGATTTCAATCTCTACTCTCCTATTGTGTCTTTATTTTGAAATTAGACTCTCAGAGGCCAATCTATTTACTCCAATTTCTCCATATATTACAACATTTTCTCCCAGATCTTGTCTACACTACACTAAAGCCAGGGGATGGAAGGATAAATCAATCTTGCCCTCCAGGACTGATGTCCTAGTACAAATACATCAATTATATGACATAGGCTGTGTCACAGCCATGGCAGATATCACAATATGCCCTCTGCCTTAGGTTTCTGTCTTCCTCAACAGGGTTCCAGGCAATTGCTGCCAGTAAATCCATTCACTTGTCTGTGTGTTTATGCCTTGGCAAGTATTTATTAAAAATCTGTTATGTGCCAGACACTGTTTTAGGCATTGAATATAAATTAGAAACTATAATAAGGTGAAATTGAGTTTCAAAAATAAAATAAGACAATACATATAAATAACCTTTGTGACCTCTAAAGCTCTATTTAAAGAGAGATAAAAATCAGAAAGGAGTTTCCATATCCTTTAATTTCAAATGTGTTCTTTTAGTTACATTATTTTTGTAAAATATGGTGTCTAATTTCTCATTGATACTTTACTTTTCACTAAACCAGAGGCAGTAAGTTAAACAGGCTCAGAAATCTAGCAGGTTTGTTTTAAAAACCTGACTCTGATGTTTACATGACTGTGGCCAAGTTATTTAACTTATTTGGATCTCTGGTTCCTTATTGTGGAGAAACTAATACAAGAGTAGGTATATAAGGATTCTTGAGAGGATGAAATAAGAAAATATTTTGCATATTGCATTACAAAGCATTTTGCATACAATTTAGCACATGATAAGCTCTCAATAATATTGGCTATTACTATTACCCTAAATTCTAATAACAAACATTTTCTTTATGAAATTCAATAAAGCTACTAGAATTTTGAAAAAAAAAAGTAGCTCTTAACCATTTTTATTTTCCTTAAATTTTCTCTTGTGCAAAAAATGCTGCCCACCAATGACTAAGCATTGGCATCACCTGGGCATTGTTGTAAATACAGAATTTCAGAACCCTTCCTAGACTCACTGAATCAAGGTCTCCAGGTAATTGGGATGAACATTAGCTTTGGAGAACCTTCACCTGCGTGGAGGAGTGAATGGTAGGTGCTCCTGACCTATCAGATTCATTTTCATTCCAATTCATGCTTCAGAATTTGGCATATTATGGAATTTGCTATGCCATTCACTTTTCAGTTTTCCATAATTAATGTCTCGAAAAACAAAACAAAACAAAAGAACAAAAACAAGGAAGCATATCAGAGTCTAGAATGGGCTTTAAGTTGTATCCATTTCATTCAGTATCAAGTTCCAACCATGTATTAATACAAGACACATGTGTGCTTTATCGTAGTAAGTCTATTGAGTCCACATAACAATTATTTAAGGTAGGCATTATTGGATTCATATTACAAGAAATGAAACTGAGTCTCAGGGAGATTACAAATGCTTTAAAAGGACCCAGAGCCAATAGGGGAAAAAGGTGAATTTGAACCCAGGTTTGTTTCTCTCCGAATTATGTTTTTTCCTCAATACACTACTGTGTCATGACCTCAGTAGCATTACATGTCTTCTCTGGAACTGATTAGTCAAAGGGGTGGCTCTTTACCTCCATTCCAACAGATTGGAAACAAAAGTGTCTCCATCTGCCCAACAGTGTTTAATCCTGCTACGTTAGTGCCCCCCCCACTCCTATTTTTTATTGGGTCTTAAAATGGTACACATTTTGCAATTGAGAATTATTGAGCCAACATATGGTTTCAATTGAACAATTCTAATAAATCATTGTGAAAAAAGGAAGGAAAAAAACACAATCTAACCTTTGTGCTTTTGGTAAGAAGTAAAAATGTGTTTTAATAAAAATCTATGAAGTGAAAGGTCTAGAGTTAAGTAGAGAGAGACACATTTATATTTGTTTATTTTTACCTTCACTGTTGATCATGCCTCACAGCCAGGGAGCTTTAGACACAGCTTTCATTCAGCTGCTTTTATGACGTCCTTGAAGTTTGAGGCACTATTTATTACCAGAATTACAGACTATAGCTTACTGTGGCTACCTATGGCCGTGTGGTGCCTCGGTAACTGTCAGCTTGACTTAGATCTTTGTTCCAGAAAGATCGCAAGGATTAAATGCACCAGTCCCATTTTACTGAAAGAGAGATTCATATCCCTGGGTAGGCCTTGCCTCTAAAATGCTTCCGTTTGAGAATCACTGAGTTTCAATTAGACTGTGGTTACCCACACCCAAACCAGTCTGGTAAAACCAGATGCGGTACATTGGAGGCAATGGTTGAGGTTGGTTATGGGAAACTTGTAACTCTTGAAGCAGGTTTGGCAAAGAAGGGCATCTGCCTGTGACTACAATGATAATTAATGTCCTAATTTGTGTAGGGATCAGAGTACTTTCATTTACACTATGGCATTTTATCTTCATAATGGATCTTTTGAGGTAGGTATTATCAATATATTAATATACAAGTGTGGGAAATTCGGTTCAGGGAAGTTGCAACTTGCCTTAGTAACAGTTGGTAACTCATGCTACAGACCATACATAGCACTCTCTCTTTTCATTTTGAGGCTTTGCTTGGCTTTTGTGAAAACCAAGGCTCCTGGTTGTGTTCTTCTAGCTCCCTCTCTCAGTGGTTTTCTCATATTCATTTTCTTCTTGTTGACTGGGCCTCTGTACATTGAGGTGCCTTGGGGCATGCTTCTTGAGTGACTTTTCTCTTCTTACTGTATTTTCTTCATAGGTGATCTCATTCATTCTCATGTTTTTAAATATCCATATTCTGATGACTCTCAAATTTGAACAGAAGGATTTGTCACCTCCATTCCTTGGTGTATAAAATACCTGTGGATTTCCCATATTCTCTCTCTTTCATACACAGGTTTGAAAATAAAGAATTCCCAAATGACAGTATTGTAAGATGTAAGATGTCTGGATTCCTGAGTCACTGCTGGAGGAGAGCACAAAAAAGAACTGCAAGACCCACCTGTGACTGAGCCATGAAAAGTAAATAAACCCCTCTTGCATTAAGTCCTTGAAATTTCAGGGTTCATTGTTGCTACAGTTTAGTTTATCTTGGCTAGGGATTAGCAAACTTCTTTCTGTAAAGGGTCAAATACTTTAGACTTTGCAGGTCAAGAGGCAAAACTGAAGCTCTTAAGGATACTTATAACAATAGAGCAGATGAATTTCCCTAAATTTTTATTGATGAAGTTAAAAATGTAATTATATGTTAATATGACATAATTAATATAATGTATATCAATATCAATAATACAATTGATACATTAAGAAGAATAATATTGCATGTTATGTATAATAATGTAATACTTTTTTGGTAATACAGATCCACTAATGATAAAAATGGAATTCTATTTGGTGGGTGGGGGGTAATATTTTACCTAATTGAAGTTCAAAGGTAGTCTTCCCTATTAACCAAATTAATTTGCAAATTGTCTTGTTAATGTTGATCTGTAATATGATATATAAAATACATTTCATCTTTGGTTATATATTTTCACCAAGATAGATTATCAGTGTATGTGTGCATGACTTTAGTTGAGCACATTCATTGCTTGGATGGAATTTATAGAATTTCATAAAATTATTATTATTTTTTTTTTAGCTGAGCTATCCTGCCACCTGTTGGCAGGTCAGCTCAGGCTGGGACTCAAACCGCTGTTGCTCAGAGCTCGCACTCTTGAGTGAGCTCTTAACCAACTGAGCCACTCGGCTGACCCTAAGATTCTTTTTGTGATAGTTACTTTTTAGCATGTCATTACATTGCTGATTAATCACTTTAAATTGAAGATTTGGTGGACTTTCTTTGATAGCACAGTTAAATGGATTTTGAAACTTGAACAGGTCTTTTGCACTTACATTGAAGTCTGATAAATGCTGCTAAAACTCTACTTTGAACTCAGAAAAAATATCTATCACAAATTTGTGTGGGAATGCAGAGCTCAATTTTTGCTTCAACTTTTGACAGAACAGGAAGCTATAAAGCAGGTTGATATTATTATGATTCAAACATTAATTTTCATTGAAATAACTACTGTAAGATAAGTATCTCAAATAGTGTTCTCTTGCCTTATAATTTCAGGTTGAATTAATGAATGAACATTACCAACTCTACAGCAAAAGGTAATTTTCAAAGCTGTGTTTGGAAATAATGATTGGGGATGGTTCATTCTTGTTCAAAAAAATTCCAGTCTTGGCCATGAGCTCCGAAAAATAGGAACAAAATTTTACCAGTGCTAAATTATTGAACTGCTGTGTGATAGGGCAAGTCAGGGCATTTAGCTGCAATTCAGTTTCAACTCTAAAATTTATAAAACTGACAATGATTAAGTCCATGGGAGCAAGTGAAACTCACCAGTGACTCTACTGGTATAATATTACAGGATAACTAAACATTTTCTGCAATGTTTCTGCTGATGAATAATACAATGAATAACTATAGGCTATAAAAACTACTTACGAGCTTTGTAAATTTGTTCAACTGTGTCTTTTTCTGCTCCATTTATATTTTTACCATTATTAGTTGTAATACATCTTAGCAGATTCCACTTCATGTTATATTGAATTATGTTTTCTCAATTTTTTAACTATTTCTGCCTATAGTTATTCCACATAGATCACTCAGGCTAATTCTTCAGTTATTTCAAACTCAGAATCAACTCTGAATAAACAACTGAGCAGTATTGGTAACATCTGTTGACTCATAAAGAGCCATGAAAACCACTTAAAATCATTTGTTTTGTTTTTAATTGACTATTGATGTTGCGCCCGATGTCCTCAACTCTCTTAGGAATGTTTTTTTGCTAAATGGCTAATAGTCTTAAGTAAGTTTTCTTTGGACACATTTCTTTGGCTGCTGTGATCAAACATGATTTAATTAATTCACCACCAGTGACTTTCTTGTTTGACTGGCTAACAAATGAGCCACTTGGAATTTTTTCTTGGTTGTAGCCTTACTTTTATTTGTGTGAAGAAATTCTGCTGTGATGAAATATTCAGTTTTAAACTTTCTAATTTTTTGGACTGTTGCTTTCCTGTGAATTGGGAATATGTGATAAATTCTTAATCTGGTAATGTCATCATATATTGTATTCTATAGCTGTAGTGTCACAGCATAAAGAACACAGTGCCTTGCTCTATCCTATTTGATAACAAAATAATCCATACTCCACTGTGCCTTAGAGGCATGACATCCGTAGTCCACTTTTCTTTTATCTTTTATGAAATAATGGGTTTGCACTTGTAATAAAAAGTACATAAAATATCACTTCATGACAATATGTATGACACTTGAAATGCTGCCAAGTAGTAACTATGCTGCTGTGATTTATGGCACACCAAGGAGCAGTATAAAGAGATTAGTGCCACGTATGGTTTCTGTCACAAATGCTCAAGTTCGTTACTTTAGTGCAAAAGCAACCACAGACAATGTGTAAATGAACATGTGCAGCTGTGTTCCAATAAGCTTTATTATTAACAGTGAAATTTCAGTTATACGTAATTTTCACCTGTCACAAAATTCTCCCTTTTTATGATTTTCAGCCATTTATAAATGTAAAAACCATTCTTAGCTCAGAGGCTGTGCAAAAGCAGGAGGCCAACTGGCCAAAGTCCATAGTTTAATAACTTCTGATCTTGATGAATACAGTGTCCATAACTGAATTATTGTTTGTCCTTACCAAACTGTTATTCTCCTACCCTCTCCTCCTCTATGAGTAGCCAACCTGTTTTGTGTGTCATTAATTTTAATTAACTGTTGGACATCATGTGTAGGAAAACAGTACAGCCTGAGATAAATATCATTTATACCTGAATGTGGACATAACTCTTCTCTGTCAGGCTGATAATCTGGGGGATTGAGTCAATTTGGTTAGATGTTGAGCTCAGTTTGGATTTTACTGTTTTTGGAGTCACCTTCAATGCACAAGGTACTTCAGTTTGCTCCGGAAGTGGGCTCTTGTTATTTTGTATCTTGGAGGGCTAAAGGGTTTTTCTGAATTCACGGCTTCACTTTTGGCTTTCAGCCATCCTGTGTTACAGAGGGAATCTCTTGCCAAGCTCCCATCCCCCAGTGGTAGACTTCTGTTCCATTTTATTTGGTTTTATGGACTTGTTTTGGTGGGAGGGAATTTTCTCAGGTCTATTAGTCCATCCACAGTCTTAAACAGGAATTTGGGGCCTGGGTCTCAGGAGTGCGGCTTTCTCAGAATTTTTGCCCCTCTCCTCATGGAATCCCAAATCTGCATTGTTTCTATAAGGATTTAAGGGGGAAGAAATTTTCCTGTCTTTCAGTGGTAGCTGATCTCTACTTTATATCCCTCCAAGAAAAGAATATTGGTGCTTTCATTTGAAGCAACAGATCTTTGCCTGGGCTCTGGGGCAGAAGGGCTTCCTGCCCTCTTCCATGTGATCATGCTTTTATGACTCCCTTAGAAGTAGTGAGTTTTGCCTGGGCTCTGAGGTCAGAAGGATTTTCAGCTTAAAGTATTTGCTTCACATGAGAAAATGCTGCCTGCACCCCAGCATCAGCCTATCACTATCTGTACACCTGTGACACTAAAAGGGGTTCTCTTTAATTTTCTGCCTACTCCAATATTTCTCATGACTTACAGGGTCCATGGAAAAGAGCTTTTGGATGAGTGTGTACACCCTAGAGTCTGGGACTCCCAGTTATTCTAAATTGTCATGTTAACCCTCACTTGAGTTTGTTAAAATTTGAGCTTTCTTTTTTCTCCACACTTGTGGCTATCTCTTGCTGCTACGTCCTATCAACTGAATCTCTTCTTAGGGGGGCTTGCCACTCTTCGCAATGTAGTTCACATGGTTGCCTTGCAACTCCAGCTCTCATGTCCTAAGAACAATTTAGAACTTTTAAGATCATCTAGCTTTTTTCCTCATTGTTAGCACAGGGGCAACATTCCCTTGAAATGTCTATACTCTAAGTAGAGATGGAACCAAAATGTATTTTACTGAAAAGTCATATTTGCAATACAAATTTAATGTAAAGAAAAACAACGGAATGATGAACACAGGATTCAGGGTGATGATGATCTTGTTTGGGGGAGGCAAGTGATGGCTCAAAACAGAAATAAGTGGTTATAGGTTATATATCAGTTGTAGTTTTTGGATTGTAGGTTATTTAAAACACCAAACTAACCACATAAACAAACAAATATTGGCTGCACCTGGACTAATGAGAGGGTATTATCAACTAAGGATATATTTAATCCAATCCAGTGTACCCTAGTTTCAAAAAAATTGTGTAAAGGATAGATAGCTATGGAAACACCTAAATGTCCATTGATGGATAAAAGGATAAAGTGTGAAAAAAATATATATATAAAATTCAGCCTTAAAAAAGAAGGAAATTCTGCCATTTGAGACAACATGGATCATGGATGAAACTGGAGGACATTATGCTAAGTAAAATAAGCCAGACACAGGAAGATAAATACTATATGATCTCGCTTGAATGTGGAATCTAAAATAATCAGACTCAGAAGCAGACAGTAGGCTGGCGGTTACTATGGGTTGAAGAGAGAAGGGGAATGGAGAATTGTTAATCAAAGGGTACAAAGTTTCATTCATGCAAGATGAATGAGTTGTGGAGATCTAATGTACAATATGGTGACTATAGTGAACAATACTGTATTGTAAACATAAAATTTTCTAAGAGAGTAGATCTTGTGCTCTGACTACAAAAAAGAAAAGAAAAAGAAAAAGGTAAACTATGTGTGGTGATAGATATGTTAACCAGCTTGAATGTGGTGATCATTTCACAATGCATATGTATATCAAGACATCAAGTTGTATACCTAAATATACAGAGGGTGCCAAAAAAATGTATACACATTTTAGGAAAGGAAAAAAAACATATTAAAATTATAATACTCAATATATACTGACAATGAAAGATGAATACAAGTTACATTTGACTTCTGCAATTACAAGAGGTGCTCAAAACGGTTAACATCAGTGTCTAGACACTCCTGATTACGGCGAACACTGTTTGGTAGACTTCTGTGGTGAGCGTGTAAACTGTTCCAACACCATAACAGAAGCAGGACTTGTTGCTGTGTGAGGCCTCCCGGATGTTCCCTTGTGCACATCACACATGGTACCATGTGTCTCAGACTTATCACCAATGCATGCAATTGTTAGGCGTGTTGGAGGTTCTGCTGCATACTCATGCCTTTATTGTCGTTGTACTTCTACAATGTTCTCGAATTTCAAATACCACTTCAATATGGTCTTGTGCTCCCTGAGCAACAACCATGCTTTGGCCATTTTCTTTGTCCTGACTATTGCATGGTGATGCTAGCATTCATTTGATTAATATCTTCTTTGAGCGAACGTCATACTACACATTGCTACTGTAATTTAATTCAACTTTGAAAAGTAATACATAGATAACATCTTTTAAAATGTGTATACATTTTTTTGGCATTTTGGTGTATACATTTTATTTGTCAATTATACCTCAGTAAAGCTGAAAAAAAGGTAGATATCTATTGTAGAGGTTATTTTCCTTTATATCATAAAAGAGGACAAGCACTGATATCATTGTAGTGATAATGAAATGATTGTTCTTTGCTGAAAATATTACTCAAAATCTTTTGCTCTCTTGCTTTGGAATGGCTGTTAGGTGAAGGTATGTGTTTGGCAAAGTTTATTTCTGGCCCTTTTCCATGCACTCATGGTCCATATGCTCTCCACATCTGCCGCCTCTCACCCACTATAGTATGTACAATATATTACTTCTCAATTTATCAAGAGCCTTTTGGAGTCATGTGCTAACAATCCAAAGGCATGATTAAATGCCAGAACCTGGAGGTCATTTTCAATTACTCCCTCTTCTGCTTCACTCATATTCAATTTTGTTTTGTCAAATCTACCTGCTTAATAGTTCTTAAATTAACCATCTCTTTCCCATCCCTCATGTTACTGCCCTTATTCAGCAACTTGTCATTTTTCTCAAAATTATTGGTGTAAGTGCTTTCTAATTGCTGTCTACTTTACCACATTTGCTCTCTGTTGTCCACTCATCAATCACTTCAATTTTGTCAGTGTCTTCTCATCATTTGTAGGAGAAAGCCTAATATTAATAGAACAACTCTTAATAG